GGCGGTAACAATACAGGTTCATAACCACCTGCCTATGGTGGTGGATGTCACCTTGTTCCCCAGGGATCCCGGCTGGAAAGAGACAAACTTCCTGTTTGGCCGGGTTCTTCTGAGGTAAATCCTCAGAGCCCTCCTTATGTCTAGGGTGTGCCACTTCCTCTCTAACGGGTGAGAGGGGTCCGGGCAGAAATTGGGCAATATCAATTCCTGCGAGTGATGGAAGCAGGAGCACACCTTAGGGATGAAGGAGGAGTCCAAACTTAGTATCACCCTGTCCTGGTGGAACGCAGAGATCCTCCCTGGCTGATAGAGCCTGTAGTTCAGATATCCACCTGGCTGAGGTGATGGCCCCCAGAAGGCAACTTTAAGAGTCAAAACCGTAAGAGACACAGTTCGCAAGGGTTAGAAAGGAGGGCCTGCCAGAGCGCCCAACACCTTATGCAAGTCCTAGGAGGGGTACCTGTGTAACGTAGGTGGCTTAAGACAGGATGCCCCCTTGAGGAATCGCCTGACTATAGGGTGGTGAGTCAAGGTCTGTGACCTACCGCACAGAAGTACCGATGAAATGGCCGAGATCTGTCTCCTAATCGTGTTGGGAGCTAACCCTCTGTCCAGGCCTGCCTGAAGGAAGTCTAGAACCTGCAGGATCGTGGCTCAAACTGGATTGTGGCCCCTGGAACTGCACCATGTTGAAAAGGAATGCCATGTAGTACCCTAAATGTGCTCCATGGAAGGTCTGCAAGCCACCTGAATAGTCTGTATCACCCTGGGAGAAAAGTGGCCTTCCCTCAGGATGCTCCACTCAAGCGTCAAGCGGTCAACTGAAGCCACTGAGGGTCCGGGTGCTCCAGCGATCCCTGGCTGAGAGAGATCCTCTCTTGGGGAATCTTCCAGGGCCTGTCCACTGAGATTGGAGATCGGCAAACCAAGGCCAGTGTGGGGCACCACCTCTGCCCACTCCCGCAGGATTTTCTGTATGACCTTGGGAATCAGGGATAATGGTGGATATGCATAGAGGAGCACCTGGGGCCATGGGCATCAGAGAGCGTCCACTCCCTTCGTCCATGTCTGATACTTGGAATAAAACCTCGGGAGCTGGGCATTAAAAGGGGTGGTGAATAGGTCGACCTCCGGGCATCTGAAGTGCCTTGCCACTTCCTCGAATATTGCCAGCTGCAGCCTCCACTGTGAATTGTCCACCTCGGTCCGGCTGAGCCAGTAGGCTCTGATGTTGTCCACCCCTGCTATATGTTCCGCAGTCAATGACAGAAGGTTCCTTTTGGCCCACTGCCCTAGTCGTTTGGCCTCCTTCATGAGGGCCTTAGATCTGGTCCCCCACTCTCTGTTTATGTGAGCCTTGGTGGTGATGTTGTCTGTGAGGACTAAGATGTGGCTGCCCCTGACAAGGTGGCGAAATTGCAGGAGGGCCCAATGGACCGCCCTGAGCTCCAACCAGTTTATGTTGAGTCAGTTCCGCCTGGCTCCATTGTCCTTGCGCCATCTGAGCCTGCAGATGGGCGCCCCGTCCAAACAGGCTTGCATCCATTGTTACCGTCACCCTGTCTGGCTTTCTGAAGATCTTGCCCTTGGAGATTGCCGGGGACATCCACCAAGTCAGTGACCGGGATACTTCTGTGGGCAGAAGAACCTTTGTCTGGGAGCAGCTCATGCGCCTTCGCTGGAAAGGCAAAAGGAACCATTGGAAGTCTCTGGTGTGGAACCGACGGACTATGCCAATGACAGACACCACGGTGCCAAGCAGTTTGGACAGTGTGGCTAAGGACACCCTATGCCCCCTGGCTACCTGAGTAGCTAGCTGTCTGAGAGAGAGCTGTCTTTCTGATGACAGAGGAACCCTGCCTGTCTCTATATCTATCAGGGCTCCTAGGTGGATCAGACTAGTGGACAGGTGAAGGTGGCTTTTGGCCAGATTTACTGAGAACCCATGGTCTTTCAGGACTGTCATTGTGGTGTCTAGATCCTTAAAGGAGGATCACTGTAACAACAGGTCATCTAAATAACATTGAATTCGAAAAGGAACCTGCCTCAGGTGAGCTGCCAATGCCGCCATTACCTTCCTGAAAGGGAGCAGACGACAACCCGAAAGGCAGGGCTCGATACTGGAAATGGTGCCCTAGGTAGCAGAACCTGAGATGTTTACAGTGTTCCGGAGCTATGGGTATATGCAGGTAGGCCTCTGTGAGGTCTATGGAGGTGAGAAAATCTCCCTGACTAATCCCTTCCAAGATGGAATGCAGTGAATGCATCTTAAACCTCCAATAGCGGATGAAACAGTTCAGGCATTTCAAGTCAAGAATCGCTCTCCAGATGCCCAAGGCTTTAGGAATTACAAAGAGAATAGAGTAATACCCCTAGCCTTGCTGCTCATTTAAAAAGTTATTAAATATATAGAAAAGTTATTTTCTATCTGGGAGGCTAATTTGTGACAGATGTGATATCATCTTTGGCAGCAACATCAGAGACCCTTTCTTTGAAACTTTTCTTGGACTTGAGCTATTCCAATAAGGTTCCCATTTCTGACTTTGGGACTATTTTGTTGTTGTATACCTTATTGATTAGAATTAGAGAAGCAGGATAGCTATGGTTGCTAAGCTGCCTTACAGAATTGACACTGGCTGTAGCTGTTAAAGAACTCCTTGTAAAATGTGGCAGCCAGATACAGAATAAGGCACACCCACTCAGCCATGTTTTAAGTTTCACTGCAACTGAACAACTATGTTTTTAAAAACTTTTCCATTTAGAATAGACTAGTCTGATAGGCCATATACAGGTAGTCCTCGATTGAACCCAAAAACTATGTTGCTAATTGAA